CCCACTGCTCCCTATCTTGTAGGTTATCGTTTCTAGACATTGTAGAGGTGCTGTTCTCTCAGGACACCCCTAATTATCTACAGCTTCAATACACAATGTCAGCTAAGGCTGAACACTGTCAAGTGAAGAACAATCATTTCCTGCATCTTTTATTCATATCTCAAGTTACTACATCCCAGAATAGGAAACCTACAGAAAACATTAACTTTGTCTGAAATTCATCTTCCTGAATCTTCCTTATTAGTGACTTTCTGCTTCAAATAACCCTCAGGACCTTCTGCTTGGTCAGGGAGCTTGAAATCAGTGAAATCTATGTTAAAAATCTTCCTTTTCAGTTAGAAGACAAAGGTGACTGCTATTATTTCTAGCACTTAATCTAAAAATTACCAGCAATAAAGGAAAAACTCGAGCAGAATATTTGACAGAGTTTCTGAAAAATAGGGAAGAATATTCCCCCAAAACTGTCTTTACCTATAGACTAGAATCTTTGTATCATGAATAATGCCACCACAGGCATTTTCTTTCTGGTTGATCCCTGTTTCCTTGCCAGCTTGTTGAACATGAACAATGCCCAACTATCAAGAAGCTATCAGTTCCCCTACTGGCATCTCCTGGGGTGAAGATGACCCAGGGTAGGGAGCATAACAGAAGCAGACAGCTGGCAGGAACAAGAGCTCCTTTAGCCCAGACTACTACGATAAATCTTCTACTGCAAATTAAGCTTTATTTCTCATTCTGTACACACTGGATACAGAGAATTTAAACCATAAGCTGAGCACATGGCAAAGAAGAGCCAACAGCATCCAGGCCACGTTAAAAAGGGTGCTGATGTCTTAAAGGCATTCACAGCCATAGCTGCATGCCCCAACAAATGTTCCTGTGCCCAGCATTTCAAGTTAGCCGGCTTTAGGCTTCCAGATGCACCCAACTGGGTGTTTAACAGGGATGGGTACAGACTAAAGGTCCTCTGAGTATGGCTCAATGTACCTCTAAAGTAGCTGGTTTATTCTGTGGTAAAAGAGGCTAGGAAAGAGTGAACAGAGAGGGGAGAATCAGTGCAGGAGCTGAGAGAAGGAAGCAAGGAGACACAGAAGGGGAATAACAAGGCTGTGGCCTGTATGATGACACTCCTGTCAGCTCACAAAGGTGGCTGGAGGTAAAACACACCTGACTGCTCCAGAATAGGTTTTCTGTGGAAAGATGCAAATTAAAGTTAGCTACTTAAATACACCGCTTGAGTGCAAGACAAAAGGGATCTGTTGCAAAAGGAACTACTGCAGCAGCCCCAGAAAGCAGAGCTTATTTCTGGTGAAGTCAAACCCTACCCCTTTCTCTACCAAAACAATTTAATAAGGGTTGGAGAAATTATTTAAGTCACTGGGATCACACAATCACCCACACATGTAGTTTGTTTAAATGAGGAAATCAGCAGTGGTCAGGGAGCACAGTCCAGTGCAGGGCTGAGACCCAGGAAGGATTTGGAGAGGCTGTGGAACCAGTTCTCCAGCATCTGCTATCAATACCACCTGTAGGCAGGAAGGCTCAGGCAGAGCTGAGGCATCACAGAAAATTATCACTCGCTTTGCACTGCACACTCCTGCTCTCACCCAGCCAGCACTCCAAAACACACATCAATTTAGTGATTAACTGGTGGATTCACTAAATGACTAAATCAACATCAGTGTAGATGTATCGGATGGTCAGCTTTGATGCTCTTTACATGTGATTTTCACAGGCAAATCCTCTGAAAACAAGGGAAGTTTCTCCATGAATTTACACAGAAACCATTTAATGTAAAAAGGGATTGCCATGGTCACTTAGCCAACAGCATCAGACTCTGCAGGGAAATCTCCCAAAGAATCAAATCAGCTAAAGGTACTTGGCCTCAGAGGAAGAAAAAACCCTGTATTCAGTGCAGTACTGATTTGGTGGCTTAGCCCAACAGCATACTCATGGCACATCATGGTTGGACACTGCTGGGAAAGGCTCCACTCACACTCACTTAACACAGTGCAAGGGACACTGATCGTGAAAGTCCAGACACATGGTAGGTCATAACATACGGTAGAAAGAGTCCTTGCTAAGGAAGTGCTCTGGAAACACTTTCTCATTATTTACTTTTTTGAAAGGCTATTAAAAACCAAGATTGATCCAAACATTCTAATAGATACTCCAAATATTTTTAAAAATATGCATGTCTAATATTGAGAACTAGCCCAAACAAGAGATGCAATGGGTAGGTCCATTGAAAAGTTACATATGTAAAGACTACTTCTTCTGAGACAGTGATACAAAATACAAAAGTAGATCACCTTCTTTGCAAACATCAATCTAAAGACAATATTCTAAAATCATTTAATGTAAGGGACACTTTAAAAGAGGCAGATGAAAGACTTGAGAAAGCTGGAAAAAGAAAGAAGGTTATAGGACAAAATCACTAACTTTGTTTTAAGAAGGATTCTGATTAATAATTAATTTTTATTAAATGGAAAATTATAATTTTCTTGAAAATTTTCAATCTTCACCTCAGAAAACCTAAGGCTAGAGAGATGCTTGGATCCTCTGCAAAAATCAATTATCATCTTCACCTTGTCTGTACACAGAAAGCATGGAGCAGAGAGATATCTCACACTCATTGCTCTAACCTGGTCAATAAATAAAACACTGTCCCTATGGTTATTTTAAAAACTGGTAATTTTAGAAGGGAAAAGGAGGGAGAGGCATGGAACACATTACAGTCATCAGGTTTTTTAGTGGTCATCCATTTGTATAAATGTTTGGCATGTATAATATTCTACAGCAATAGAGTTGTTAGTAAACACACAAACTTTTTGATCTTTTCCTATTAGAAACCAGGTTATAAAGAAGCTCTTAGAGCACAAATCTCTAGCTATTCCTGAGGAAATGGGGAGGTTAAGAAAAAAAAGGCAGCTTCAAGATGTTATCCCTTCTCTGTTGAGATACACAATCTACTCAAGCAGGAAATACACACAGACAGAGGTGGACAATCAGCCCAAGATATAATGACAAGCTGCTGACATTTCAGAATTTCTCTTTGAATAGCAGGTGCTGTCTGAGTACACACAGTGCTAGTGAGCAGGAAAGAGCTTTTCAGAAGTCATTGCCTTGAATCACAAAACTAAGACAGCACTGCAAGAGACTGGGGGCTGGGACAGAACTTGGTGCCAAACATAAGTGACAAAGAACAGGAAAAAAAATATTCCACAAGCCTGAATCCCTTTCTCAAAACACACTTCAGAGACTTTTAGATGAGGGGAGAAGAGGCATTCCCTATCACCATAGCAAAAGGACTGCAGCAGACCTTCCATGAGGAAAGGACCATGGGGCCAGCACACAATCCAGAAGGAAAACTAGACCACCACATGGCTTCTGGTATGACAACAGATTAGGAGCGTCTCTTGGGTCATTCAAGGCTGTGCTATCACTTGCACCCACAACATATTATTCCTTTTGTAAGTGGCAAACTGTCCCCTTTACACAACAAAGCTACTCTGTACTGCTTTTTTATTGAAGTAAGGACATGGGCTTGACTATTCTCCTGTTTTCAGCACTCTAGCACCAGCAGGAGAGGTCTTTACAGCTACAATAACAACACCCCCCCTCTTCACAGCTTCATTGACCAGACCCTTCTCAGAGCTGTTTGAAGCAGGGGGAGAAGACAGGGAAAATGTCACTCTGAGGAAAAAAATAAGAGGCTGCTATCTAAACACTTCATTGATCTTGTGCAGCTTTGTTAGTCCTGCTTTCCTAGAGTGTTGGCAGAAAAACACACCTGAGTCTGTGGAGAAGAAACAGTCATACAGGGGCATGTTTGAAGGACAAATGCAGCTTGCTACTTTCTTCCAGAGTTGGAGCACTCTTCACTTTTTTGAGCAAGGGTGTCCACATTTGCATATATGTACGTGACCAAACATACACACATGCCTTGGGCCTCTATGGAATGCAGCCAGCCTCTGACTGTAGCATAAGGATTTGCCAGTGAAGGGCCTATACCACACGCTCCAGGTGTCTCCTCATTATCTGTTGGTGTGCTTAACCATCGCTCTAATAGAATTACTCCATCCTCAGTGTCTACTCTGCTTTTCCTTCCTGCAACACCATTTATGGACCCAAGCAAGCAGTGCAAGAACACTTCTTGCTCCCTTGACACCTCGAGCAAAGCACAGTTACAAAGCAAGACAGTTAACATGCAGATCCATCACCCCAGACAATGCAGAGGGATAGTCCTCTTCCTATACGAAATATTCCCCTCTCTGAAATCCATTCTGATGAAGAAATCTTAACACAAGATTGAAGAAGAGGAAAAAAAAAAACCCTGAAAGTGACCCTCATTTTAATTAAATGGTCAAAATCAAGGATCAATTAAAGCCTGTTTTCTTCAGGGCAGAGAAAATCAGCAGCACTTATCTGCTACTGATAAAAGCAGACAATCTTGGTTTTGCTGATACTTAAAAGTGATCAAGAAAGGACTGACGGCACCTCTAACATTCCCTTTTTTCCTCCATAAAAATCTTTCTTGTGGAAACAAGAATATTATCATTTGAAAGCTGAGATTTACACTTCAGAAAAATAGGTGTCTGATACAGGAGGAGAAAGCAAGTGCACAGGATTCCTATTGCTCAGATTAAAAATCACACAATCTGGCCCAGATTTTGTAGAGAAGGAAATAAGTTGTTTTAAGAGGAAAACTCAACAGCAAGAGAAAGAGGTTTATCTTGAACAGCCCACTGCTGCTTCTTCAGTGATCCTGGTTTTCATCATCCTTGTTTCATTTTGTAAAGATTCCCATGATGACAACAAAAGGAGAAGTAGGTTGCTCCCTATCACACATGATTAAAAGAACACTGATACTAGCAGATACCCCCAGTCTTCAGGGAAATAGTGACTAAGGCTGTTTGCTGACCCAGCAAAGGCTGCCTGGGTAGAAGCACCTACTGAAAAAAAAGCAAGCAAGCACAAAAAAAAAAAAAAAAAAAACAAAAAACCAAACAGCTGTGACAAAAATTCCTGATTCTGTGTCATTCTCTTCAACAGTATCTCACAGAATCCCTACCATCAGACTTACTCATTTTGTCAGGACTTATTTCTTCTAAGACATACTTCTATTAAGCATGGAGTAAGGAAACGAGGGGAGTTAAGGCTTCAGAATTAAACAGTTTAGTCTTGAAAGATTGTTTTCTAGATAAGACACGCCACCCAGTCTGTCTAGAGTTGCAGAGTTTAGAAGAAATATATGCAGAAGCTGTGAACTAAGCAGAAATTATGGGGTGTTGCGCCCCCCAATGATGAGGAGCAGAAAATTTAAAAGTTAGCAGGAGCCCAAGAATTAAAAAAAAAAAATCTAACCAAACATCCTTGTTTCTCATGACATTTCCCTGAAAACAGAGAACAATCTAGACACTGGCTTTTCTTTCCCCAACTAAAATTCGCTTTAGACCATTCCCTCACCCTCCCATCAATTCATACAACACTGAGAATTTATGAGCTTTTTTTTATTATTTCATTGAAACCATAGGTTTTGGGCAAGATGGGAAAAGAACAGCACCTTTTAAAAAAACCCTGTTGTGTGCTATATAGGATAAATAGGTGAGCTTTAAAAAAGCCCCTAAGTTTATATATGTACATATACACATACACTAAACCAAATTAAAACAAAGGGTCATTTTCAACACCAGAGAGAGAAAAAGTCTTATTTCACAGCAAGCAAAAGCACCACAAGTTAAGATTAGAGTGCACAACCACATGTAGTGCAGATACCAAACTAGCCTGAGTCCTGGAAGCAGTGTAGCTAGAGCAGCCCAGAGTTCCACAGAGGCCAACTTATCCCACTCCTCAGCAAATGCAAGCACAGAGCCCACTTTGGGATGGTGTGCTGTGCAGGCCCGCCCACAGCCAGCTGCTCTGCCTGCATCAATTTTGGCAGACACCACAAAAAGTAGCAAACTAGTGAGAAGAGAGCCAGAGCGAAGCTACAGGACTGATTTAGCTACTCTATTTCCATAACAGACATTTCTGAGTGCCCTCATGTCTCTTGGGGGCTCTCTGTAGGTATTACCTGCTTGGGTCACACAGAAGAGAGCTCCTGATTAATCTGTGCCCTAAAGTTCTCCTTCTTGCCTACCTGCATCTTTCCTTTTTCTGTCTCTCTTCCACACCACAACACCAATCCTATTTCCTCCAGGCTGACAGGGTAATAAAATTAAGAGGGGGCATGTACATCTAACCAAGGGGACAGTCAACAACCAACTGAAGCTTAAAAAAGAATTAATAATAATTCTTAAAAAACCCAAACCAATTAAAAAACCTGTTCAAGTTCTACAGACTTCCGGCACAGTTGGGTCATTTAGCTCAGAGGTCTTTGCCTTCAGCGCCTACAGGCTAAATAGTCTCAGCTGGCAAGAAGCACGCAGTACAGGGTAAAATTCTGACTAAAAGAAAAAAGTAGTAAGGGTTAGGGAGAGAAGAGGCTCTAACAGGGAAATGCAATACTTCAGTAGCAGCACTTATGCTACACGGTAGGCTTTCAGGAGAGTGAATTCCTTTCTGTTGGTGCGAGCTGCCCAGATGAAGAGAGCAGCTGCCATAAACTGCAAAGGTGCCGAGACACAGGCCAAGCAGAAGGACCAGCCAAATTCTCCCCTCACATCATCAGGCAGGGGCAGCTTCTTATGGAGCAGCTCAATCCCAGCTACATAGCAGCCAACCAGGCCCAGCGTACAAAGCCCTGGGGAAGGAAGAGAAAAGCCCAGTGAGACGTGCTCTGGCTGTCACTGTCAGCTTCTGGAGGAGGAAGGGTAAGGGGTGGATGGCAGGAGACCTACCTGCTAGGAAATGGAGGACTCCGGTGGCAATGGCAGGGTAAAGGCTGCGGCAGGCACAAGCACAGAGCCCAATCAGAGCCCCAAAGCACATGAGGCCAAGGCTGACAAAGGGCAGGAGGAACTGTAATCGCCAGAGATCTGCACGTGAAAAACACAAAAGTTCGTTGCAAGTGTGCTAGAAACTGATCCTCTCCCACCATCGTATATTCCCTTCTACACACACTACTTCTGCTTTATCAGACACTCCATATTCACAGCTAAAAAGGACCAAATACCTCACTAAAGTAAGAACTTCATTTATTAACTCCCAAATTCCTGTACTGCATTCATGGGCAAAACCTTTGCTAAAGCACTTAAGTCTTCCTTTTACACTGTGACCTACTGCCTGTGCTACTGTGAATAAAGAAGGAGAAAAGACAAGACACTTACAAGTTCGATTCAAATCTGTGCCACTATTGTGATTTCCAGGCTCTATGTACTTCTCCATGAACTGATCAGAGAGGGAAAAACTGATGCAGTTTGTAGTCATATCAGTTTCTAAGGGAAAAAAAAAAAAAAAAGAAGAAAAAAATTACTGTTAGATGTCTCCCTCCCATCCCTCCCCTCCAATTTCACCTTTACCAGCCATTTAAGATGGGAAGCTCCTCAGAGAAAAAAACCATTCTAGATAAAAAAATTATCTCTCAGAACAGGTCTGTAGGATGCCTTATCATAGTGCAGTTAGCATCATGTAGCTACTACAATGAGGGGCAGCATTCAAACATGCAGAATCTTCAACCCTACCTGGGTTACCCATGGAGGACTGACTGGGCCACGCTTGACAGGTTGGGAAAGAAATGTGGCATATGATGCTCAACTATGTTGTTACATATTTTTGTACTCAGAGTCGCTTAACTGAGCTGTGTTTATCCCCATGTGCAGAATGTAGTATCATACTAAAAACCTCATTCAAAAATGGGACAGAAAGGACTATTTAAATAACAGAAAATATTTGCTTCTTTACACTAAATTTCTCCTCTTTTATGCCACAGTTATATTTTGCTTTGAGAATACTATTGAGCAGAGCTGGTTTAAGCATCTTCCCAAATAAGTATTTTCATTAAAGAAAAAAAAAAAGTATTTCACATAATGTTTTTTCTCCAGAAAAAGAGGGTGAAAGTACATTTTTTTAAAGAGGGTCCAAAACAAATGGCTTCACACACAATATGTCCAAAATCTACTTTGAAGCAACTAAAATAACTGCTCACCACACTTTTTTAGCCCCCAACCATTGTGAAAAAGAACACAAATATTTCATTCTGTATCCAGCACTACAGTACAAGGAGTCTGAAATGTGTTGATGCAACAGTGACATGTGAGCAAAACAAATGACTGGGTAAAAAGGAGGGAGTGTCTCCTTGATAAAATAGTATTTTTATTCTATTGCTGGATCACAGGATCTCTCCTAAAAAGACAACGACTGGCAGAGCAACTATAACTGTATCCCCAGTTGGACAGCAAATGCAAAAGAAAATCAAGTTATACCAGACTAAATTTAGATGAAGTATGATGTGTCAAATCCAGATTCCGTAGCACTTACAGCCACAGAGCATTTTGCCTTCCGCTTCTTTAAAAATTTAGACTGTCTTTGTGAAAAAACATCACATAAGCTAGAAATAAGCCTTCTGGAGGAACAAAGTGGCATGAACGTGAAGCCAGAGAAGTGTTAATTGCTCTAGAGATACCTGGTGGGCTGTACCAGTGAGAGTTTTTGGGTACAGTGATACACCTCCGCCACAATCCAACCGTGCCATTGCAGCGGAAGAGCGCGTCCGTGTAGGTCTTCTCATCCGCCTCTTCGCTGACAAATTCCTCCCAGATGCTCCTACCAGCTTCACTAACATTCTCAGCTGGGGACAGGGTGTGGTATTCGTACCAAAAGTCAGTGCCGATGGAAGCTGCCATATAGATGGTGGAGATGAGGCTGAGCACGCAAGCAATCACTAGCGCCGTAGCAAAACGGTTATCCATCATCGCGCCCTCGCTGCTGTGAGGAAAGACAGGGACAAGTAACTCCTCTGGCAGCAAACACAAAGTGATCCTAGCAGTGTCAAAGTTGTGACATCATTCCTCCTATGCAACCTCAGGATACACGTATCTTCCTTTTCCAACATGCTGGAATCAAAGGAATGAACAAGCCTACAGTACTGGTCAGCATCCATGGACCCACAAGTTCCAGGCATAGATATCACCCTTCTCCCAACCACGCTGCTCTAGCTGCTCTCTCCAAGACAACAACTGACAGAGCAACAGCAACTCTATCCCTGAAGCAGATGGCACAGCTCGCTGCCATTTGTGATCCTGATTGTAGGGAACTGCAGAGAATCCATCCACAGCACCCAGGCAGAAGACTTATCTTTCCTTAAGAGATTACCAAGGGTGGAAGTTATTTTTAGCCTCTCATCCCATAAGGTTTTCACAGCTTGTGTTTACAGCAAAGATAAGAACCACAAGCATGTCAAAAAAGCTCTTCCAGGCTGTTCACAAAGGGCAGCCACGCCAAGGTGCTGGAATGCCTTTAGGGAGGCAGAGAAACCTATCTGGGCACTGGAGACAGAACACGAAAGAAACACTGAAAGACAAATTCAGAAATGATGATAAATGCTGCAATAATGCCACAATACAGACAGTGGTAATTCTGAAACACTAAAACAATGCAAGGGGGGGTGCCCGGTTCCATAGGAAGATGGTAAGAGCTTTGAAAACTGAAAGGCCTTCATGCACTGGCATGAGGACTTTGCTCTGGCTCCCTATATTAGGGGTCATTTATGCCCTCCTTTGCAGGGTAGTGCTCACAAATGGCATAAATTCAGAGTGAAAGGAGGCATGGGAAAATACTGATACCACATATGCTTACGCTTTGCGACAATACTGTGACTTTAATGAGTAATTGATTGCTAATACATGGAATGTTTTGCAGATAGTGCAATATGTCAGAGGACTCTCAGATGCCTGTTGTTCTCGGGTGTTTTCTGTGCTTGATTAAATTTATGGATTATGATGAATCAGGCTTGATGCACTTGCCGAAAAAAAAAAAATCAATTGAAGTTAACTCAGCAGCTTGAGCTAGTCTGGTGACACGAGCTACTATCTAATCAGCTCTTGCCTATTGCCTGCTCTGCCTCCCTTCTCCCACATACTTGGATCAAAATATTTTGGTCTAGTTTCTTTGCAACTGAGTGGAACCACAACTGGAAACAGCAAATGCCTTAAAACACAACATTCATAAGGAAAAACATGAGTGCTCAAGTCAGACCTGCCAGCAAAAAACTCTGAACTATGAAACAAGGTGCAAACTAAAGCAGGGAGTTTCAAAGGCACTGATATTTGCTGCTAACAATGCCATTCTTATTTCTTTTCCCTCCCATCTGCTCCTCTACTTGGTTGAAACTGGCTAACAGGGTTGAGGAGGAGATATTATGTGTACCCATATCATTCCCTGTGCTTAATTTCTATGTTAAATAAAGCACGCTTTCTGTAATGTCCATCCCTGAACTGCATCCTTAGCAACGAGCAAGAATACAACTGATTTTTGGTGATCTGATAAGCAGCACCTATTTAAACGATGTGGTTATGTACTTCTACTCTCCTGATATCCAGCATCTACCTCGAGGTACACAGGACACTGGATGAGCAGAATAGGGAGAGAAGTTGACGTATAGATGTGACCTCAGTATTCCTCCCCACTGAGTTCACTGAGGGATCCCCTCCCTTTCACAAACAGGACAAGTGGCAGCTCAAGAGCTGAGCAGATCCTCTGGGAACTCACTCTCACTCAGGGCAAGCAGCAGAACAGGCTGGCGAGCAGGCTGGTCTGGATTTTCCACTATATTGCAGCCACATTCACTGCAAGAGGAACCCTATGCAACAGACTTCTCTCTTTAGAAAGGGCTCTCTGCAAGGAGGAACTGCGAGAACCTACAAGTTCCATTCTCAAAGTAACATCTGGCAAAAAAGAACGTAAGCAGAACGTTATTGGGCCACCCAGTTTGCTACCACTGCCCTTTAATATAAATGCTTACAATAACAAGGTCTGATCAATTTTGTACCTAACATACAGAAAGAAAGGAACTGGCTCAAAAGTCCTACTTTCAGATACAACATCCCAGGTGCAGAACACTGGTGCTGGAAATATTCCCATCAGAGCATCGTTAAAACACAACCAAACACATCTGGCCAGTCTTCTACACATTGGCATACAATGAACTTGGTCGAGTTGATGCCAGCTGGCAACCAAGAGCAGCTCACAATCAAAATGAAGGGTTAAACATCAAATGGTAAATTAAAGAACTGCCCTGTGTTCATTACTCACTGGCTATCTAGTGACATTCAATCCTGTAAAGTACAGCTCCAGGGATAGGCAGAAAGCAGCCAAGGTGGTTACAAGTCCCAGAAATTTAGGCTTTGCATGGCATTTGTCCCAGAAAAAACACACATGGGTTTTCAGTGTGGACAAGACAATGCCAAGGCAAGAGCACACCCCTGATTCCTTATAATAAAGGTCCCCTCAATGCTTCTGCCTAACACTTCAACTACTTACAGAAAAGATGAAGAACTCCACAAGACCTTGGGCAAAATTTGAAGTTCTTCCTGCCACAGCATAGTAGACTTGACTACCCTGCCCATGCACTGTGTATACCCAATGCATGTGCATTTACAGTAGACACACCCCAACTTAAACAAGGTGTCCTCCACTCTGTTAAAGAGAGAACCATCCTTCCAGCCCCAGGCAGAGCTCAATGGGAACAGCAAGTATAGTCAGTAAGAAATAGTTACCAGAGAAGACCATGAAAAAAAAGACACTGCATGTTTGAGATTATGACACACTTTGCAAAAGGTTCTATGCAGAACAGTATGTAGGAAGTGCCTCAGAATAAGCTTACTGACCAAAAAAAAAAAAAATTACTACTACCAAAGATAACGTTGATTATAAAGACATAAAGGTTGATCACAAATAGAAACACTTTGTTTTTACAGGCTGCCAGCAAGAACCTTCACTGTTTTTACACAAGGTTTGTTCATGTGGCACTGCCAACACATTTTATTCTAACAGTAGAAGCTATTTCAAACAAGTTATGGCTGAAACTAAGCTACACAACGAATGTAAGGCAACACAAGGCAGTAGTAAACAGGTACTCAACCAGAAGTGCTTTACAGGATATTGTAGTTGTACTCATTTTTGAAAGAAGTGAAAGACATAAAAATTTCAAAGCACCAGCTCATAAAAGAGAAGGCAAAGGCTAAACTAGCAGCAACATTCAAAGGAATGACTAGATGCATGTACTTCATAGAAAAGGGGGGAAAAAAAGGGCAAGTCAGTAAAGTTGAAAAAACACAGAACAGCACAAATGCAAATATGCCTGAAAAAAATCAACTGTAAGACTAGAGAATGGATAAACATTTTAAGAAGCCACTGTACCACGGCAGAAAGGAAGATGGATACTTTTATTTTGTTACAGTGATCACTGCTTTCAGCCAGCAGTGGGCCACCACATTTAAGAAACTCCTTTTGCCTGACATCACAAAAATGGAAGGATGCTTTTGCTGGCATCTTCTCAAAAAACACCCTTGAGATCTGACTGCTGTTTGGGAAAACAGAACAGGCAGGAGGCCTGAAAGAATGTGTGATTGTGGGGAGAGGGCTGGTGACACTGCCAAACTGGATCCTCTTTATCATACTCAGGGTCACGGAGGGTTAGGAAAGAATGTTACCAAATGCTTTTTTACCTTCAGAGGTCCTCAGAGCCCCTCAGGACACACAGCTCCAGTGATTCCAGGTCACTTCAAAGACACGGCGTCGTTGGTGTCTTGCGGTCAGCCGAGAGCATGAAACACAAACTTCCCATCTGCCCTGTTCCATTCATTCAAGTTCTCCAACGCCACCGGTTCACAAAAAGCGATCTGGAAGCAGAAAGCAAACCAAACCGTTTGAGGTCATAATTTCACTTTGAAATTATTTAAACCCATAAAAAAAAAAAATTGAAAAAAAATAGAAAAAAATACTTTAAAAGGGGGGTAAAAAACCAGAACGCTGGAGCCCTGCGGCTCCAACCCGGCACACGGGCGGACACCAGTGGCCGTGCGAACGCGGAGCCCCGCGGCCAGTCAGCTCCCCGGGCCGCGCTCCAGCACCGGGCGCCCAGGCGGCGCCGCCAGGCTTCACCCCCCGCCGCCAGG